AAACAAAAAAAACCTTGAATTGTTTTTTGTTTTTTATTTTTTATTTTTTGTTTTTCCACCTTGATTTTTTATTAAAGTTACTAAGCAGTGTCTTGTGACTTCAGCCAGTTGGAGACAGTTGACATCTGAAACATCTAACCCGTATTGTAGGTATAACTGAGAGTTGGCTCATGATTTATGGTAAAATCGTAGGTCATCATAGCTGAGTGCCACCATTTTGGGTGAAATGCAAACCAGACTGTCTTTAGACTCCAAGGGCTTGACTCCCAAGACAGGGCTTACAAGGACAAACAGTCTTGATTCCACTTGTCAATCAGGAGAGTGATCAGAGCAGAGGGAGGGATCGGAAGAAAAGCTCTTGGGTGGCTGTCTTTGGAGGATAAGGAAGCGACGCTTTCATTTCCTTGGGACTCTGAGCCACCCTCTTTCTCTTCCAGAAGCACTGTGACTGGCAGGCTGGGGAGGTTCTTTCTGCACTGTCCTCCAGACCCAGCTAATCTGTATCAGAAACCCGGCCTCACGCTCCTGTGCAGATGCCTCAGACCCTCCTGAGGTAGTTCTGAAATAGGATTTATTCAGGAGCACTCAGATGTATCATGGGAATCTTAGTGATAAAAATCTGGCAGTGGCCTGCACGCTGTCAGCCTCAGCAGTGCCACAAGGGGCCAGGGCTCTTTGCCCCAAAAAGAGAGTCTCTCTTTTCCCTCATGTTTTGTTTATCCTGACAGAAATGTCAGGGGTGAGTCTGAGGAAAAGAGGGGGTTAGCAGTTAGTCTTTAATGCTATGAAATTACCCCTTCTACCCACATGGAATTCCAGAGAGGGATGCCAGCCAGAATGGTGCTCATAGCACAAATGTGAGGCCCTCAGAAGGAGGGCCTGGGCTGCCACACTCCTCACTGTGTCTGCAGTGTCCAGCATGGTCCTGACTGGTGTGGGTGCTCTGTATAGGGTAGGGACGCCTTCAGGATATCTTCTCTGTGGATTTCTTCCAGGAGGACCATTGAGTAGCCCAGTATGTGCATTTGTCCCAGTTCACCACCAGCTAGCCATAACATTGAACATGGTACTTTCTCAGGGACCTCAGTTTCTGTGATACATAGGTTGGAATAAATGATTCCTAAGGGACTTCCTTGTGCCATTGAAGGCCTTATTAAGTGTCCCTCTGGGTCTGATGGCGTAACTGCATCGAGGGAATGCAACAGAGGTCGGGGTGAGGCAGAGTGGTAGTGGTGCACTCCTGTTGGTTGTGATTAATAATGGACCAGAGTCAGGACCCCTGAAAGAAACACTGTGGGTGTTTCCACTTCTTCATGAAACTTCTTAACTTTAAAACTCTATACTGGCCGGGCGCAGTGGCTCACACCTGTAATCCCAGCACTTTGGGAGGCTGAGGCGGGAGGATCATGTGTCAAGAAATCAAGACCAGGCCGGGCGCGGTGGCTCAAGCCTGTAATCCCAGCACTTTGGGAGGCCGAGGCGGGTGGATCACGAGGTCGAGAGATCGAGACCATCCTGGTCAACATGGTGAAACGCCGTCTCTACTAAAAATACAAAAAACTAGCTGGGCGTGGTGGCGCGTGCCTGTAATCCCAGCTACTTAGGAGGCTGAGGCAGGAGAATCGCCTGAGCCCAGGAGGCGGAGGTTGCAGTGAGCCGAGATCGCATCATTGCACTCCAGCCTGGGTAACAAGAGCAAAACTCCGTCTCAAAAAAAAAAAAAAAGAAATCAAGACCATCCTGGCCAAAATGATGAAACCCCATCTTACTAAAAACACAAAAAAATTGCTGGGCGTGGTGGCATGCACCTGTAGTCCTAGCTACTCGGGAGGCTGAGGCAGGAGAATTGCTTGAACCCAGGACGCAGAGGTCGCAGTGAGCCGAGGTGATGCCACTGCACTCCAGCCTGGCGCCTAGTGACAGAGTGAGCCTCTGTCTCAAAAAAAAAAAAAAAAAAAAAAAACACCTCTATACCTGCCATTTTTCACAGTTTTCCTGTCTCCTAGTAATGAATGTTTACTTTGGGCTATGTCCCTTACATACTTGATATCATTCAGTCCTTAACAAAGCAGCCCATTTATAGATGAGCTGCCTAGATGCAGAGATACTCATTCGGGAACCTGCCAAGCTCACTTAGAAGTGTAGGCCCACAGCTCTTTTTCTTTTTTTGGACGCAGGTTCTTACTCTGTGGCCCAGGTGAGAGTGCAGTGGCACAGTCACTCCCAAATAGCCAGGACTACAGGCTCACACCACCATGCCTGGCTAATTTTTGTGTTTTTTGTAGAGATGGGATCTTACTTTGTTGCCCAGGCTGGTCTCAAACTCCTGGGCTCAGGTGATCCTCCCACCAGTTTTCTGGATCACTTCCCTTAATTTGTTGGGGGTTTTGTTGTTTGTTTGTTTGTTTGTTTCAAGACGGTGTTTCACTCTTGTCCAGGCTGGAGTGCAGTGGCAGGATCTTGGCTTACCACAACCTCTATGTCCCAGGTTCAGGCGATTCTCCTGCCTCTGCCTCCCAAGTAGCTGGGATTACAGGCATGTGCCACCATGCCCGGCTAATTTTTTGTGCTTTTAGTAGAGATGGGTCTCAAACTCCCAACCTCAAGTGATCCACCCACCTCAGCCTCCCAAAGTACTGGGATTACAGGCATGAGCCATCTTCACCCAGCTGTATGTATTTGTTTGTTTGTTTGTTGTGGTTTTTTTGTTTTGTTTTGTTTTGTTTTCGTTTTTTTTAATCTTTTTTCCTAGGCCTGCCACTGACTCCAAAATGAAGAGGCTTGCCAACTATCAGTCCTAGACACTTGATAGAATCTATCTTGATATTCACATGGAGGCCTTCAAACTGCCCACCAAACCCTTTTCAGTTTCTGGAGCCATTCGTGTTGACTCCCTTAGTGATTATGTCAAGGGTTGTAAGTTTTCCCTTGTGGAGTGTTCACAAAGAGGCTAGATGACTGCGTCTTGGGGTTTTTATAGAGAATTCTTATGTGTTACCCAGGAGAGAGAAAGCTCCCTCAGGATTCCTCCCAGATACAGGATTCTACGGTGTGCTTGGGCACTTTGCAACTCTTGAAATGCATGATGGGAACATGACCTTTGTCTCCTCTCCTCTCCCCATGCCTTGCTCAGAACACCTGTCTGGGGGAGGCTGCTTCTGCTGAAAACAGACTTGAGTATCTTAAAAGAATGTCTAAGTGTCAGAGTTGGAAATAAGCTTATGAGACCTTTTAGTTCAAACTCATCGCTTGGCATCTAAGGCCTGGAGAATGTAGAAGAATTGAATCGTGTTGTCCACTGTTGCTGACAGAGCCAGTCTCTGGGGACTCTATTCTAAGATTCTTTCATCTACCAAACCAGGGGAATGTGTTATCTAATTACTTACTCATTCCATCTGCCTTTCTGTTTCATTGTTGCTCTGAAGTTTAATCAGTAAACTTAGAACAGAGTAGGCATTCAGTGCACGTTTAGCGAAGGAAATTCCTGACTCCAGAATCCTTGAGGTTCACAAACAAGTGTGGGGGAAACCAGTCGCCACTCGTTTCTGTCTTGGCTGTGACATTAATAACCTAGTAAGTAAACCTGCAGACTCTGTTGCTCAGCCCTTGATGGGGCTGTCCATCTTCTACCGGGCCAAGGGTTGTGTTCCTTCCAGTTGCTGCTCTGGGTATCTTCCGATCAGCATGAAAAATCTGAAGTTATCATTAATGCTCTGTCCCAAAGCAAAGAAATTGGCCAGATGTTTAGGCTCTGAAGCTGTATCTGGAAAAATAAATGTACTTTCATTAGACTGCTTGCGTTCTTGGGACTTGCTTATTCCCTCGTGATATCAGGGACCACCACCCCTTCCCATCCTTCTCCCCAACTTGGCTGCCCTCAACTCCTGGAGCACCCTAGGGAACAGAGCCCCTCCTATACTTGGCCCTCTCCCATGGGCTGAGCCGGCAGTTGGTGTGTTTGGAGTTTGCCACAGTGTTCCCACTCTGTTGCTTGTGAGCCTCAGCCCTCTCAGGGCTACACCTTAGACCCACAGCCCTGCAGCCAGCCAGGAAAAATGGGCACCCACTTGGTGGGTTTTTTCAATCCAGTGAGTCTTCTTTCAGTCCCATGAAGGAGCTTATGTGACTTTTTAATCCAAACTCATCAGTGCTTTGTGGGTCACTGAGGAGGGGGTTAATGCCAGCGCCACTCAAGAAGCAGGCATTGCAGGTGGTCTGTCCTGGGACAGCAGCCCGGTCCTCCCACCATGGTGTCTGCTGGCAGGTTGGGACGTGGGAGCTGCACGTGACACAAACCCAGCCTCTGGAGCTTGCCCACGGTAGCCCCTGAGTTGCCCAGTGCAGCTCCCACATCTGCCTGCACTCACAGTGCTTCTTCAGTTCCTGTCTGAGGCTAGGATAACCCAAGTGAGAATTGTGTTTTGTCATTTTAGGCCTACCAAGCATGGAGCTTGGGAGAAGAGACAGCAAGGTCGAGGGGAAACCATCCTCACTGCCGTGCCTTCCTCCTATCCTCAAGGCCTGGCCCAGGAATCAAGGCCAGCCTTGGGGGTTGGCAGTGCCCTGCTGGACATTTGTCCACCTCAGTTGAGGATGTTGGCAAGACTTCTCTAGCCTCTGCAGACAAGCTGCCATGGCCAGTGCTTGTGGACTTGGGATCTGAAACTTTTTGGGCTCTGGCCATTCAGACCCAGCCCTCTGCAAACCCTTCTCCACCTAGTACATAGGGGCCCTCCACCCTTCACCCCACCAGGCAGCTGTCTGCCATGCTCAGACCCCTCTGCCCAGCCTTGTGGATGGCCTCCTATGGAACACCATCAGGTTGATGAAGGAAGGAGGCAGTCAGGGAAATGGGAAGAAACGGTGTACAGCTCAGGCTCCACTGGCCAACAGCAGGCTTTTTCCATGGCCACCAGCAGCAGGCGGTCTCCCCTCTGTCCCATGGGGTCTCGGCATTGCACAGAGCTACAGGCTCATCCTTCTTGTTGCTTGCGTTTTAGGAAGATGATGAGAAGCTTATTGAGGAAATCCAGAAGGAAGCTGAAGAGGAACAGAAAAGAAAGAATGGAGGCAAGTGCCCTTCCCCAGGCTCCCAGGACAGAGCAGCAGCACAGTACTGCCAAGGGAGCAAAGGACCCCAGGCCCTGCAGGCTCCTGCCGCCCTCCCTGGGTGTCCTGTCCCAGCATGGGAGAGGAGGGGGTGCAATCCCTCAGGTGTTATAGACCTGACTCCACCTACACAGCCACACCTCAAGCCTGTGGAAAGGCCCTCAAAGCCTTGAATATAGTTTTGGCATCTCCTGATGGCAAGGAAGTCCCAAGGGGTGGATTTATGCTCAGTAAGCAAACAAGCCATACCTGGCTAAAAAAAAGTAGACCCACAAGAAAAGTAGACCCACCTGGCCTTTCCCAGGCTAAAAGGCAATGAAGCCAGGCATGTTGGCACACATCTGCAATCCCAGCTTCTCAGGAGGCAGAGGTGGGAAGATTGCTTGAGCCCAGGAGGTTGGGGCTAGCCTGGGCAAAACAGCAAGACCCCATGTCTTTTTCTTTTTAAAAAAAAAAAAAAAAAACGCTGAGGGCAGTGGCTCACATCTGCAATCCCAGCACTCTGGGAGGCAGAGGCAGGCAGATCATTTGAGACCAGCCTGGGCAACATGGCAAAATCCCATCTATTTTTTTTTTTAAAGAATGTAGCTGAGTGCAGTGGCTTATGCCTGTAATCCCAGCACTTTGGGAGGCCAAGGCGGGTGAATCACGAGGTCAGGAGTTTGAGACTAGCCTAGCCAATAGGGTGAAACCCTGTCTCTGTTAAAAGTACAAAAATTGGCCAGGCATGGTAGTACACCCCTGTAGTCCCAGCTACTCGGGAGACTGAGGCAGGAGAATCACTTGAACCCGGGAGGGGGAGGTTGCAATGAGCCAAGTTCGCACCACTGCACTCCATTCTGGGCGACAGAGTGAGACTCTTGTTTCAAAGACAAAAAAAAAGAATGTAACTGAGTCACGGAGGTAGCCCCTCAAGGCCCTGGCTCTTGAAGGATGCCTTACTGGGCTGGGCTGGGTGGGTGGACATGCCACCTTCCACGGTGCCACTGTAGAGCAAGACACTGAGGGAAAATTCAGATTTGTCCTTCATTTCTAATAGTCGTATTGTGAGGGTGTCCACCTTTCGTGCTTTAATCAGCCTGTGGAGCCCCTCCTGTGTCCAGAGGTCGCTAGCCTAGTCCCAAGCTAGATTCAGATTCCAGCGAGGTATGTTTAATCTGTTTTCTCCACTAAACTCCACCTCCCTTTCAGAGAATACCTTCAAACGCATCGGACCCCCACTGGAGAAGACCATGGAGAAGGTACAGAGGGTAGAGGCCCTCCCGAGGCCTGTCCCACAGAACCTGCCGCAGCCACAGATGCCACCCTATGCCTTTGTGCACCCACCCTTCCCCCTGCCGCCTGTGCGGCCTGTGTTCAACAACTTCCCACTCAACATGGGACCCATCCCAGCCCCATATGTGCCCCCGCTGCCCAATGTGCGGGTCAACTATGACTTTGGTCCTGTCCACATGCCCTTGGAGCACAACCTGCCCATGCACTTTGGCCCCCAGCCACGGCATCGCTTCTAATGGCCCGGAACCCCCACTGAGCAGCACAGAGCCCATTTAGGGTGGGGGTATGGGATGGAGAACACTCCCCTCCCCCAAGGCTGGTGGCTGTGCCATTGCTTCCTAAGGTTGAAGGGTAGGCTGGTTTTCTTCCCACCTCTTTCCTAGAAGGGCCACTGCTCCCGGAAGATTGGCCACAGCTGGAGGGCCTGCATGGGATTGGTCTGGCTCCCACTCAGCAGAGTCAAAAGGGCCTCAAAGCCCTTCTTTGAAGAGTTCTGCCATCCTGGCAGGTAGCATGGTGGCCCTGGCTGCTGTGTCACTCCAGTCCCTCCAGCAAGAGACCAAGAGGAAATATTTTGCCTCCATTCACTTTTTCCCCTAGCAAACACCAGGGAAAAAACCTCTCAGAATTAAAACCACATGAGCCTTCCTTATATAGCACAGACAGATCCATAATAAAGATGAAAATGGTGGAGTTCAGAGAGAATTTCGATGTGAACTGCCCCTCCTCTCCCCCCAGGCCACCAGGGGCGGCCCTTCTGCCTTATCCCCTTATCCATGATATAGGCCCTGGCAGGCCACAATGCCCCTGCCGCTCACACCTGGGCCTCTCCTTGGAGCCAACCCTTGGGGAGCAAGGCAGCTCCAAGGAGCCACTTCCTGGAGGTCCTCACAGGGGCTCCAGGTTGGGCAGAGGGAGCTGGCACCATGGCCTGCAGAGGCACTGCCACAGCCATAAGGGTCAAGATGCTTCCCCCATCCAGAACCCATGCGCCACTACAGTGAGCATTGAGGGCACCTCTCTCCCTTCTTACAGCCGCCTCAGATCAGGCAGCAGCAGACCCATATTGTGCCATGGGTTTTGTTCTGTTGCCATCTAAGTTTCTCTTCCCCAGTCTCTGGAAAGTCAGGCTGATAAATCCTTACCCAGGCTAGGCCATTGCAGCATGCTGGATGGTTCTGAAGCTGGCCCACCGAAAGATCCTCTTGAGGTAGCTGGGACAGAGACCTGGTGGCCCTGCCAGGCAGCCCAACTGCTGCAGAAGACATTTCTGCCACCCTGGGTGATGAGCAGCTTTTCCCTATGGTTTTCTGGGGGAGGAGTGGGCCTCCTTAGCGGGACAGGTGACCCTGGGTGCCACCCCTGGAAGCCCCTATGTGTTCTCAAGTGCTTGGTAAAGGCAGGTAGACGGTGCTGTCCAGTACCCCCCATATGAGGGCCACTTCCCTTCTCATGGAGTCAGCTGAGCATCAGCTCAGCCCTGCCATGTCCCTACTCATTCTCCTTGCCTCCTGACCAGCCCTGGGTTCCCAGCTGTGCCTGAGGCATCACTCTGGCCCATTGGCAGATGAGAGGCCTGAAGCCTTCTTGGCCACAGGTGTTACTTTCTTCTCTTGGCCTGCTGTGTTCTTGTGTTGCCATGGGGTTCTGAGAGGTTTGGGGTTCACAGACCTCAGACAGGACTGACCCTGACAGTCATTAGGGTGGGGCTGCTTCAGCCTCTGGAGCAGCCCTCCATCCTCCTGCAGCAGGGCTGCCCCACCCAAGGTCCCCGGGGCTGGAGGGCACCATCATTCACTGTCATTGGCTTCTCGGATGTATTTCAAGTACTAGAGTGTATTTAAAAAGATCTAAGATGGCCAGGCGTGGTGGCTCACACCTGTAATCCCAGCACTTTGGGAAGCCGAGGAGGGCGGATCACCTGAGGTAGGGAGTTTGAGACCAGTCTGACCCAACATGGTGAAACCCTGTCTCTACTAAAAATAGAAAATTAGCCGGGCGTGGTAGCACATGCCTGTAATCCCAGCTACTCAGGAGGCTGGGGCAGGAGAATCCCTTGAACCCAGAAGGTGGAGGTTGCAGTGAGCTGAGATCTCGCCATTGCACTCCAGCCTGGGCAACAAGAGCGAAACTCTGTTTCAAAGAAGATCTAAGATACTCATTCTTTCTGCCTTTTCCCAGGATGGAGGCTTTGAAGACAGCTGATGACCTGGGCATGGGGTAAGGGTGCGCTGGGAGGCCAGGCTTGTGGGGAGCCTAATGCTATGTCCTTGCCGGCTCCCCTACCTGTTGGGCTACCTAAACTTTGCTATTAACCTGAATGACAGTGCCTTGGAAAAGCAGGCTCCACAAAGCAGCAGCAGCAGGATTGTCTTGAGTACCTTAAACGTGCTCCCTGTGCTTCCCCTGGGAGGGTCTTTGGGAGCAGAGGAAGGCTGCTGACATTCCAGCTGAAGCGTAGGTGACCTCAGCCCCGAGGAGCTTCAGCTCCTGCCCTGCACCCCAGGCATGTGGTCCCAGCAAGGGGCCCAGGCAGGACAAAGGGAGCAGGCACCAGCTGCAAGAACAGTCCCAGACAGGTAGTAGCCCCAACCCTGGCAGGGAACAGGGAGCCCAGAGTGATGTTTCTCAAAAGGCTGAACCCCAGGGGTCTCTTTTTAGAGGAGTTCCAGCTGTTTCTGGTCACACTGGGCTGGTATTGAAGGAGTTGCTGCCTTTTTCCTTGGAGAGTCCCTGATTCCTGAGGATCCTCCCCAAGCCAGGCACAGGGGGTCGCAGGGCTGCCATGAACAGCCACCTTGGACCTCAGGCTCCTGCCTGCACCAGTGACAGGGCTGGGGAGAGAAGCACTGGGGGTCTTCTGATCAGCCAGCAGGGTCCATTCCAGTGCCCAGAGGTCAGACCACAGGCAACCCTGAAGCAGCTGGGGCACCTCCTCTCTGCCCTGCAGGGCTTACCCCAGGGCACGAGGCTCCCCAGCCACAGCCCCCTCTTACTTGCCTTAAAACTGGAGAGAGGAATCTAGTATTTGCACTTAGCAAAATATTTAAAAACTGAAAAAAATGTGCATGATCTGTCACTTTGTATAAAAATAGAAAAATGATTTAAGTAGTTAAACCTTTTCTTTACCTTCTGGTAGTAAAAATAGATAAAATAATTCGTTCCTACTACTGTGTGTAAAAAGCCTGTATCATATGTAACTGGGACTTTTTGTAAATAAATGTTTGTGCGCTCTGCTCCCTCTGGCTTCATCTCTCCCCACCGCTGTCCAGCAAGTTACAAGGGCAGCTGGCAGCTTAGTCCAAGTGATTCAATCTAAACCAGCATCCACACCTCCCCAACTGTGTCTTGGCAGGAACAGGCCCGGAAGGCACACCAGTGTGTAGTAAGAGCCCTTACCCCTCCCCTGCCAGGGAGGAAGATCAGGTGATCTGTTAGGCAGATCGTGCTAGGGCAGCTACTAAGGCCCAGATTGGACACAAAGGGTCTGTTTGTTTGTTTTTGGCACGGAATCCCCTTCAAAAAAGGTGTGGTCAATTTCTCTTGCAGGCCCCTTCCCCAGTCTTTGTCCACCTAAAGGTCAGATAAACCAGGAGAAGCCTCGCCCAGCTGAGGAGTGGACAAGGTTCCAAGGACAGGAAGTGCCTAGGCTGAGAGGCCGTGGTATTTGAGTCCCTGCCCTGCATGATGGGAGGCTACAGTGCCAGTGCCCTACTACCCTCGCTGGTTGTACAGCATCTTTCCCTCCGGAGTCCTTCTTGCCATGTACCAGGCCAGGTAGGAATCTGAACCCTAGATCTGAAAGGGTCCCTGGGCACAGGGGAAGCTGAGACCTCCAAATACAGATGGACCACAGCTCACTTTAATAAAACATGAAGTCTCCTGCCGCTTGCAACATTTTTTTTTTTTTTGAGACAGAATTTTGCTCTTGTTGCCCAGGCTGGAGTGCAGTGGCGCAATCTTGGCTCACCGAAACCTCCGCCTCCTGGGTTCAAGTGATTCTCCTGCCTCAGCCTCCTGAGTAGCTGGGATTATGGGCATGTGCCACCATGCCCGGCTAATTTTTTGTATTTTTAGTAGAGACGGAGTTTCTCCATGTTGGCCAGGATGGTCTCTGTCTCTTGACTCGTGATCACCCGCCTCGGCCTCCCAAAGTGCTGGGATTATAGACGTGAGCCACCGCGCCCGGCCTGTTTGCAACTTTCTATGGAACAATTACCTGGTTTTAGCAGTGCGCAGTGGCTCACGCCTGTAATCCCACCACTTTGGGAGGCAGAGGCAGGTGGATCATGAGGTCAAGAGATGCAAACTATCCTGGCCAACATGGTGAAACTGTGTGTCTACTAAAAATACAAAAATTAGTTGGGCATAGTAGCACTCGCCTGTAGTCCCAGCTACTCAGGAGGCTGAGGCAGAAGAATCACTTGAACCTGGGAGGCAGAGGTTACAGTAAGCCAGGATGACAGAACGAGACTCCAACTCAAAAAAAAAAAAAAAAAAAAATTACCTGTTTTTTGCATGTCTGAGAAAAAGTATACTAAAAATTTCAAGAGAAGAATTACATGCCCCCCAAAAAAGTTACCCATATTCCCAGCTTCTAAACGGTTTTTGTTTGGTTTTTTTTGACGCCGAGTCTAGCTGTGTCCCCCAGGCTGCAGTGCAGTGGCACAGTCTTGGCTCACTGCAACTTCTGCCTCCCAAGTAGCTGCCATTACAGGCATCCGCCACCACACCTGGCTAATTCTTTGTGTTTTTAGTAGAGACAGAGTTTCAACATGTTGGCCAGGCTTGAACTCCTGACCTCAGGTGATTGACCTGCCTCAGCCTTCCAAAGTGCCGGGATTACAGGTGTGAGCCACTGCTCCCAGCCCAAACTGTGTTTATTTTTAACTTGTTCATGCCATGCAGTCCTTGTTCCTGTTCCTGTTCTGTATTTGCAAAAACATCATATAATTTTTTGCACTTTCAGTAAATGAGTAAAAGCTATTTATCCATTTTGCTGCTATCCTTTTTTCCATCCAGTGTGACCAGGGGTTCTTCCCACCTTCTGCAGGTGCTGGCCAGCATATTGCAACATGCCTGATCAGGGCTTTGGGGCCTTTGGTTTTAAAGAAGTTAGTACCTTGCTTTTCTCCTACCTTAACAATCGTGGACTGCTGAGCACGGTGGCTCAAACCTGTAATCCCAGCACTTTGGGAGGCCGAGGCAGGTGGATCACGAGGTCAAGAGATCGAGACCATCCTGGTCAACATGGTGAAACCCCTTCTTTACTAAAAATACAAAAAATTAGCTGGGTATCGTGGTGCATGCCTATAATCCCAGCTACTCAGGAGGCTGAGGCAGGAGAATTGCCTGAACCCAGGAGGCGGAGGTTGCAGTGAACCGAGATCGCGCCATTGCACTCCAGCCTCGGTAACAAGAGTGAAACTCTGTCTCAAAAAAAAAAAAAAAAAAAAATCATGCACTGTCCTCCAGGTCTATTGCTCTGTCTGCATCCAATTTGTTCTTTTGTCTTCCATCTTTTTTTTTTTTTTTTTTTTTTTTGAGTTGGAGTCTTGCCGTGTCCCCCAGGCTGGAGTGCAATGGTGTGATCTCAGCTCACTGCAACCTCCACCTCCTGGGTTCAAGTGATTCTCCTGCCTCAGCCTCGCGAGTAGGTGGGATTATGGGCACATGCCACCACACCCAGCTAATTTTTTTTTTTTTTTTTTTTTTTAGACGGAGTTTCGCTCTTATTACCCAGGCTGGAGTGCAATGGCGCGATCTCGGCTCACCGCAACCTCCGCCTCCTGGGTTCAAGCAATTCTCCTGCCTCAGCCTCCTGAGTAGCTGGGATTACAGGCAAGCGCCACCATGCCCAGCTAATTTTTTGTATTTTTAGTAGAGACGGGGTTTCACCATGTTGACCAGGATGGTCTCGATCTCTCGACCTCGTGATCCACCCACCTCGGCCTCCCAAAGTGCTGGGATTACAGGCTTGAGCCACCGTGCCCGGCCAATTTTTTGTATCTTTAGTAGAGATGGAGTTTCACCATGTTGGCCAAGCTGGTCTCAAACTCCTGACGTCATGATCTGCCCACCTCATGATCCGCCTGCCTCGGCCTCCCAAAGTGCTTGGATTACAGGTGTGAACCATGGTGCCCAGCCAATTCTTGTATTTTTAGTAGAGACAGGGTTTCACCCCATTGGCCAAGCTGGTCTTGAACTCCTGACTTCAAGTGATCCACCCCCACCTTGACCTCTCAAAGTACTGAGATTACAGGCATGAGCCACTGTACCTGGCCTACTTTTTTCTGTCTTTCTGAGATGGGCTCTCACTCTGTCTCAGAAAAAGGTCTAAGAATACACTCCCAGGCTCAAGTGCAGAATGTGATCATGGCTCACTGCAGCCTCAGCCGTCCTAGTAACTGGGATTACAGGGGTCGGCCACCATGCCCAACTTTTGCATTTTTTTGTAAAGAAGGGGTCTCACTGGCTGGGTGTTATGGCTCACACCTATAGCACTTTGAACTCAGGAGTTCAAGACAAGCCTGGCAAACGTGGAGATACCCCATCTCTACAAAAATAAAAATTAGCCGGGCATGATGGCAGGTACCTGTAATCCCAGCTGCTTGGGAGGCTGCGGTAGGAGAATCTCTTGAACTCAGGAGATGGTGGTTGCAGTGAGCTGAGGTTGTACCACTGCACTCCAGCCTGAACAGCTGAGCAAGACAAAAAAAAAGAAGGGGTCTCACCATGTTACCCAGGCTAGTGTTGAGGCAAGCGGCCTGGGTAACATGGTGAGACCCCTTCTTGGGCTCAAGCAGTCAGCGCACCTCAACCTCCCAAAGTGCTGGGATTACAGGGGTGAGCCACTATATCCAGGTTTCTTTTTTTTCCATCCTTAAATGTCTTTTTTATGGAGGT